TACCCTAGGATTTCATACAGCCCTTAGCTTAATTTCAAATGATTTGTCTCTTCCTTGGCAGCCTGCTGGATGGAGAGAAACTGGCCTACTAACTTGAGGTTTGCGTTTTGTGTGTGTTTTTGTATGTGGCTTTGTAACATGGGCATAGCCAGGACTTTTGTTAGAGGGAAACAGGACTAATGTGATTGGTCAGTTAGTTAAGTATTTCTATTATTTTACTTGATCTGGGGTGGGGGAGAGCAGCTGTCCCCTCTGCCCCCTCTTGGCTATGCCCATGCTTGGTAAGAAGTATATGCCTATGATGCTGCTTATATTATTGATACCAGTGTGATTTTTTTTAAGCGCAGCCTGGCATTCTATCCAAGAAAAGCTTTCATAAATCGGGGAGGAAGAGGCCTTTCTGTACACACTTCCTGTGCTTCCGATCCAAACATGAACAGTTGTATAAAGAAGGCGAAGGAGAAAACTGGCACAAATGAGCCACTTAGGCAGTTGTCCTACTTATTTGAGGCTGTGAAAACTAAATTAAGTAGATCGGAAACCAGAATCCCATTTTTACGTGAGATATAGCCAGCATGGCCACGTGTCCTACTTTCCAGAGCTCTGTCCTCTATTTGGAGGCATTCTCCACTTGAATGGCTGTCTTGCAGAAGGATAAAGAACAATAAGAATGGAGAGCAAGGGCCTTGAAGTTGCTTAACCAACCAGGAAATCTCAGGTTTGTGGCTCGTGGTTTTTGTAGGAATGGCATGCGCTGCTCAAGAGTGTTGGGTGAAAACAAGTGCAGCTTTATTGATTATATGGCAGGTCAGTGGGGCTGGCATGGCACGAGGGCAAAGGCAAGTTCTTCATTCCAGCCAGCCCTTGCTACTGGAGTGGCATTTTGTTTGATGGTTGGGAAGCACCCAACCAGCCCATGGGAGCTGGCCACAGGGTCCCACTGGACATCTGGGGGAGAGGTCCACTCCCAGCCAGGCAGGGCCCCATCCGAGCTAGGACCATGCCTTGAACCTATCATCCCCTCCAGGCCCTTTATGGGGACATCCTTACTAGTCTGATCCTGCCCAATGCTGTCTGTGCACGAAGTAGTGGCAGAAGATTGAGAACGCCTAGCATGTCAAAGTGCTCACTGAGGGAAAGAGGTGGGAAACCCAGAGCCAACTGAGGTTTGGGGGGGGGAATCATTTCTGGACCTGTTAACCAGTGACCCAAAGAGCACAGACAGGCCCTAACAAGGCCTCACTAAGCATGTGGGAAAGCACACAGGGCAAAATGGCCCCAACCTCTTTGTGGCTGAGGCTTTTAAGCACTTGACCAGGGATCAGCTAACTTATCGCGCCTCAGGCCAGTGTCTCCAGTGCCAATCGCGCAGAGGGCAGGGGAGCACGTGCCCATACGCGTGCGCACACGCTATTTCCGGCGCACTTCCGGGTTGGAGGAGCACCAGAAATAGCTTGTGCGCATGTGCACGGGCCTCCTCCAACCCAGATGTGCACCGGAAATAACGCATGCACACAAGCTATTTCCGATGCTCCTCCGACCCAGAAGTGGGCAGCCGTGCAGCACAGCGCCAGTAAGAGTGGGTGGTGGCACCAGGTGGTGGGGGTTGCTGCAGGCCAGGTAAACGAGTCCCTCGGGCCTTATCCGGCCCGTGGGCCTTAGTTTGGGGACCACTGCACTTGACCCTCTACTACCCCTATTGCATGGGATGCTACAATTTCCCACGGGATCTCATGAGGGTGCTGCAGGACTGGCTGAAGCCCTGCCTCTCCCCACTGCTTCGGGCTGCCTCCCCTCCAGCCCAAAGTGCCCCATTCACTTTGCATGCAGAGCAGAACTTTCCAAAAGTTCGAACATGTCAGTGGGTCACAGCCTATAGAAGACCTTGAGTTTAGAAGTCATCCCTGCATATAAATCAGCATGTCAACCTGCATGGGAGCAAAGCTAGACGGAGGTCCTTCTTGGAAAGCAACCACCTTCAGAAATGGCTGGCAGTAAGAGAGCAGAAAGCCTTTTGGGGGGGGGGGGAGTTGTGCTGCTCTATTTATATAATCCCCCCCGCCCCCCGGGAAGTTTGTCTGGTGTGTGTGCTGTTGTCTTTTAAGCATCTGGTTAAGAATGTAAGAAGAGCCTGCTGGATCAGGTCTCTATGGCCCATCTGGTCCAGCATCCTGTTTTTACAGCGGCCAATCAGATGTCTATGAGAAGCCTGCAAGAAGGACCAGAAGGCAACATCACTCTTCTCACTTCCCAGCACCTGGCATTCAGAGGTATCCTGCCTCCCAGAATGGAGGTACAATGTAAACATCACAGCTAGTTGATTTTTAAAGTGAAATGCTTTTTTAAATGTTCTGATGGGAAAGGAAGCTTATATGTTAAATGCTGTAATTGAGTCACCGAAGTTGGTTTTGAAGGCATAGTGAATTTGGGAAGTGCCTTTAATTGTTTGGGGAGGACATCAACAGCATTTTAATTATCTAATTGTATGGTGTTAAAAAATATTACTGTGAATTGCCTAGGATATATTTGCACGGAGGGCATTAAATAAAAAATAAAGTGATAGTCCTCAGTATTCAAAACATAAGGCAATCCTCTCCACATCCAGCTCATTACAATTGAGGTACATTCTGGATTTTATATTATTTTTAGACTAAGTGTCATCTTTGTTAATTAAGGCGTTTTGGTGCATCATGCGTGAGGACAAGACTGGGAAAATAATTCTAAATTTCATTAATAAACAATAAAAACCTAGACATGGGGACTTTTCAGGTTTCTGGCCATTCACAAAAGAGTCTAGATAGCTCAGTTAGTTAGAGCGTGGTGCTGATAATGCCAAGGTTGCAGGTTCTATCCCTGTATAGTCCCAGTTGCATAGTCCTGCATTGCAGGGAGTTGGACTAGATGATTCTGTGGGTGCCTTGCAACTCTGCAATTCTATGATTCTACGATCACTCACAAGAGGTGCATGTGAAGTGATATGCTTGTGATATAGCCACATGCTAAGACGGTTGCATGCACAGAGTTCCATGCAGATCGGTTTAACCTTTCAGCATGCCGCTGCTGCCACCACCAACAAAATAGGCTTTGTGCTGATGTGCTAAACATCCCAGGTGCACACTGAGCATTTTCTAGACACAGCCACAAAGAGTGGGGATTGTGCGAGAGGGCTCTGATCTTCTATCCGCATGCTGAAGCACTGTTGGCAAAAACAACTGTGCAAGCCTATACATGCTTTCTTAGAAGCCCTACCAAGTTTGGCGGGGTTTACTCCCCAATAACGGGAGTTTAGGATTGCAGGCTTGGGTTGCGTCTGCGTGTAATGGCTGAAGGTGTCTTGTGATTTGGCTCTGGCAGTGTGGCACATGGCTCTCAAGCATTTAACATTTCTGTGACATTGCTGTTTGCACAAGCCGTGACAGAAAGCGTTCGGGAGAGGTTGTTTCCTTTTGATGTCTCACAGCAAGTCGTCCTTTCGTACTGGTGGCCGGAATCAAAAGCCCTGTGGCTCAATAAAGTGACCCTTTTGACACCCGCCTTTTGTGTGCTTCCACCCGCACTGCACCCCTCCCCAAGAGTTTGTATTTCATCGACCGTTTCCAAGGATTGTGAGTGTGCCCCACACATCTTCACTGCTGCTGGTGTGTTCAGAGCCAACAAACAAAACACAACACACCATTATTTGATTTGAATGGCTGCTGGGCTATATAATGGGGAACAGAGGAAACGGGGAGAATAAGGCCTTGCTATTCAGACAAGAAAAATCCCCAGCACCGTGTCAAAAGACTATGAAAGCGCTTTCTGGCTTTTTGCCATGGTGGCCTTTAACATGATAAGAACAGGGCGACACAACCTGCCAGTCATGAACTTGCATGTAAAGAGGAGGAAATTAAAGGTGGGCTCAGCATTTTAATCCAGCGTACAATGTCATTTCGGTGGCAATTTTTTTAAAAAAGATGCAATTTTAATTTCTCTTTAGAAAGAAAGGAGAATGTCTGGATAGGGATGTAGATAGCTTTTAACTTTTCACCAGTTTCAGATTCTCTTTTTATCATTCCCAGCCTCAGTGCCCCTGCTCCAGTTTTCACCTCTTGTTACGAAGGATTATTGCCAGGTTGAAACTTGCAAGGTTAAAAAAGCATGGCAGATCAGCTTCTTCTGGTTAAAATATTTGGAGGTGATCCAGGCACCTGATGTCATTCTTAAAAAACTCATTGACAAAAGTGTCGCTTGGCCCAATTCAGAGGTGGGAAGCCTTCTACAGCCTGGGGGACGCAGGCCACCTTGGCTTTCGCTTCACACAGACCCAAGTGAGCCTGAGCTTCCACAGCCATTGCCCGCCATGAACCACCATGAGCAGGATTGGCTGCAACAACAGCAGATATGCTTGAGATAATATTTTATTCTCTTGTTAATTATTTGTATTTTATATTTGACTTCCTTTAGTCATGTTTTATTTTGAAATGTTTAAAGAATTTTTCTTTTCATTTTTGGTAACTTTGCTGTGTTAAATGCACATTCCGTGGTTGTAATTCTCCTTTGTCATTTTTTTATTTGGAAATCTTTAAGAAAACGTTTTAGTTTCCTGCTAGTTTTGTTGCTTTGAATGTATACTTTATGTTTGACTTTCTTCAGTAATGTTTTATTCTGGTTTGTTTCATTTGGATTTTATGTTTTAATGTATTATATACTTTGATGTTAGCCTCCCTGAGCCCAGTTTGGCTGGGGAGGGGGGGATATAAATAAAACAATAAGAAGAAGAAGAAGAAGAAGAAGAAGAAGTTGAAGTTTTAATTCATTGTGAGATTATTATTATTTCCTTTAAAATATAAAGTGGTATAGAAGTGAAATTAAAAATTATAAAAATAAAAAATATATATTTCCCTTCTCTACAAGCTTCTGGTGACCACATGTAGCTGGTGGGCATGGCCAGAGGAAAAAGAAGGTGGAGCAATGACTGAATTTGTTTCTGCAAGCATTCTCACACCCCACACTATCCTCTGTGATAGCTCAGTTGGTAGAGCATGAGACTCTCAATCCTAGGATTGTGGGTTCAAGCCCCACATTGGGCAAAAGATTCCTGCATTTCAGGGGGTTGGATGATCCTCGTGGTCCCTTCCAAGTCTACAGTTCTATGATTCTATTAGTCTTATCCAGGGAAGCAAGAGGGATTGTCAGAGTTGAAGGACATATTCCAGCCAGGCAAAAGCACTGGTGGATGGTGTGTAGCAAGGCCAGTAAAGGGTGTGGCTGGGGAGAGTCCTCAGGGCCAGATAGAGAGGTGTGCAGGGCCACATTTAGCCACCCAGGCCTGAGGTCCCCCACCCCCAGTTCTTCAGGTGCTCCTGAATGTCAGCATCTTTGGTGCATTTGCGCATGTAGCATTTCTGGGTGCAGTTGGGACTTCCTCCAATTCAGCCTGCCCAAACTGGCCTCTCCACCGGTTGCATTTGTATTGTTGAGGCTTCCTTATCTCAGCCTCCATCATCAAGTACAGGTGGTTGCATTCAGCTTAGTGACCTGGGCTAATATTTAACCATTTAAAACAACAACAACAGGTTTCGGCTTGTTTTCCTCTTGTAGCATTCCATCGAGTGAACCGGGATGCTTCTTCCTTTGGGACTGCTAGTTCGGCTTCTGAAATCCAAACCTGCATTAGCAGAAGATCTGGAGCAGAAGATGGTGTTCTGTAAGCAGTGCTCTGTGGAATTCTTAATCTCCACCTGGACAGCCACCAGAACAGAGGTCAGTTCAATATCTCATCTGAAGGTCATCACCTTTAACAGTTGCTGCTCTCCCGTGTCCATTCCTTTGCTATTGCACTATGTGCAGCATGCAGGGACCAAAAGATGGCTGCATTGCCGGAATGTCAATTTGTTTCTTGCTGTGGCCTTAAAGGCATCTTCCTTCGCATTGAAATCTACTGATTTCTGGTATGTCTTGCATACTCAAGAAGACACCCCGAGACCCCAGTATACTCCTAAGATACAGTGCACTGCCTTATATCGAGGCAGACTATTTGTCCATCCAGCTTAGTGTTGCTCACTACAGGCCTTTACGGTGCTTTCCAGATAATGTGGGACTCTTCACTCCCGTTATCCCTCACCAATGACTAATACATGTTGAGACTGATGGGGTCCACAACAGTTAGAGGAAACTACATTGGTGCATTTGGACCGCCAACAGTTCTCCTAGTATCTTCAGAATGCAAAGCATACGCTCTTGTCACTGAACCAGGGGTGCCAACTTAAATAAAATATTGAGGAGGCCCAGGTAAGCCCCACGTCACATAACTGATCACAAGACGCAGCACACACACACGCTATTTGAATGGCAATGCCCATCTATTGGGGGGGGGCTCAGTCCCCTCAAATATTTTATTGGAGGGGGGCAAAGGGATCTCAGCCCCTATGAGTTGGCTCCTGTGCACTGAGCTAAGGTTCCCCCACCCTATTCATGGCTACCAGCAACAGCTCAAGGCACAGGTGTAGCTATCAAGTAAAACAATAGAAATTATTAACTGACCAATCACGTAGGTTCTGCCCCCCCCCCCAAAGTCCTGCCCTCCCTAACAAAAATCCTGGCTACACCCATGGCTCAAGGCCTCTTCTTTCTCAGGGAAGGCTTGTGCTATCGCAATCATTGATCAATGACTACAGTACCAAATTATTATTATGCTTACCCCCAGATTTAACACCACAGGTAGAATGTTTGTTTCACCAGTTTTCAATGGGATCAGTTTGCATACAGGACTGCCACGCGCATATTCAAATGTTGAATGAATCCATCAAACGTTGCATGTATATGTGTGAACCAACCTTCAGTTATCAAACGGGGGTATATCTCAAGGTACCTGTGAGAACACAGGATGAGGTGTGCATCAGGTGAAGAACCGGCTCCCATTCTCCCATACTGCAGCACTTTTCACCCTATTGTCATTCCTTGACCAGCCTAGAGGTTGAGACTCTACGTTGAACTGTGTGAATCTTCTGCTTGCCTGGGGACTATTTCTCACACCCCCGTTATAAAAGCTCAAACAAGAGCTGCCCCTCACTAAAGAAGGTTCCTGCTTTGCGATGGTTTGATGCTTTATTAATCAGCTTATTATTTAACAAAAAGCCCTTGCTAATAAGTAAAGCACAAAATCCTGTCCATTGGGCTCGTTGAAAAATGTGGAGGAACCGACCAGGGCAAGTGAATATTTTTAGATGTTACTATTTCAGGTCAGAGCTTCTGCTTTGGAGGAGAAGCATAACTTGAGAGGGCTGATTTCAACACATTGGAAAACATTGCTTGGGAGGGACACTTGGACATGACAGGGAAACATCTGCACAATTTGGGGGAGGGTGCAAAGGGCAGTCCTCCTTGATGCAGCTGTGTTTCTGAGTGAAGAGCAACTTAGGAGCCACCTTGCTATGAGATACCCTTTGGTGGCATACTTGAGACACTGTTAAAGGGGAGCAGATAATTGTTTAGTGTGTGTGTGTGTGTGTGTGTGTGTGTGAGTGAGAGAGAGAGAGAGAGAGAGAGAGAGAGAGACGGGGTGGCAGGAATATTTTGATTTTCCAGTCACAAGTGACAAAACCTTTTGTTTTCCTGCTTTTGCAACTGATGGGAAGTGATCCCTGAGTGGCCAGCTCCTTACCTCTCACCCTTCCTCTTAAGCAGCCTTTCTCAAAGTGGGCAATCCCACCCCCTGGGGGGACACTGGAATGATCCACGGGGGTAGTAGTAACCTCCACTGCAACTGGGGGGACATTGAATAAAAATAAGGGGGGTGGAAGCATAAAGAAAGAAGAGAATTAAACAACTCAAATTTGTCTTCATCTTTCTGTTTGTTTGCTTAAAGAAGGTAGATTTCCAGGGGGCGCTGAGTATCCCCCCTCCCCCCCAAAAAGGGGCAGTAGGCCAAATAAGTTTGGGAATCTCTGTAAGCAAACCCTTTCCCTAGTATAACTCTCAGTGGCTTTAGCAATTTACTGCAAAATGCTCAAGAATTGCTACATGAAAGGAGGAGGCATTGCATCCATTTCAAATGCCTGAAGCCACTTGCTCACCTGTTGGTGGCCCTAAGCAGCAACTTGAAATAACATCAACAGCCCTGTTTTCCAGTGACTCCTTGGTATCCATTCTTAATAGGAAATTAAACTTATTTTGCTTTGGAGAATGCAACGACAAGATCTTAAGGCCATATCTCAGAACAGGTCAAAAGTGAGAGCGATACGGCAGGACTTTAACCCTGGAATTTGAGCACAACTGCTTTGTACATAGAGCTACCTCTTATCATACTTTTCTGTCTGGGTAAAGAGATTCTCTCTCTCACACACACGTGCATACACATCAAAAAAAGAGAAATCATTTTGGAGGAAACCTCTGCTTTGGCAGATAGCTGCAGTGCAACTTAGTAATCAGCATGTTGGGTTGAGCTAAGCTGATTGTTTTAGCTCCCAGTTGTCAGTGAGTTCAGTGCTGATGCTGGGAAATCAATCAAAAGGACAAACTGGATCTGGTTATTTTTCTCTATCCCCACCCCCACCAAAAGGATGTCAGACCTGTTATTTCAGTTTAGTTAAAGACATAACACAGAATCAACATCCTCCAGAGAAAATGCATTGAAATCAGTTGGCTTGTTATCTTCTCTTACTCTCCCAGGAGCACAGACATGTCTCCTAGGCATCTTGGACTCTTAGCCTAGAGCGGTTTGGACTTGCTCTCAAGATGAGAACCATTCATAGTGGTCTGCAAAAATGCTGGCCCACACCGTCTTCTCCATGTGGCACTGGCCTGCACACAGCTGCCCTCAGCATGTGGTGGTTGTGGCTGGAAGGGTGTTCAAATAAGTCCTTGGTTAGAACCTTCCTGTTGCTTTATATAACCTTCAGAATGCTATTGTGTAGAGGTTAAAAAAAGGGAAGGCACTGTAGTAGTTCTGTGGTGATGGGAGGAAACCCTGAAGCATTTGCTCTAAAATAAAATACCAGACGTACGGTTGATTGAGTAAACATACCAGGAAGAAAAGTGGACAGCTTGACCGAAGCAGGAGGGTCAAGAGGCAACCAGGAGTCAATCTGCAAGCTGTGTGCATGTCTTTTCAAGAGCAAAGGTGGAAGAGTAAAACCAGAGTCACCCTGCTCCCCATCTCCTCCTCATGGGTATGTGTTATGGGTGGCTCCAGACTATTTTGTGGTGGGGATCCAAGTGCACACCTGGAGCAGTTAAAGCCGATTAAATTATTATTATTTTTTAGAAGACATCTGAAGGCAGCCCTGTTTAGGGAAGCTTTTAATAGCTGATGAATTCTTGTATTTTAATGCTTTGTTGGAAGCCGCCCAGAGTGGCTGGGGAAACCCAGCCAGATGGGCGGGATATAAATAATAAATTATTATTATTAAATTATTATTATAAAGGACTCTGTCAACCTCATGCAACAAATCCATGTTGAAGAAGAATAAGACTTTTTGCAGTTTGAAGGGGAAATGCATCAAAAAGTGTGGCATGAAGAAAGGCTAACAGAAGATGTATGAATGCCCCACAAGTGAATGCAGGACAAATGTTTGTTGTTGTATAACTGCCCTGCAAGCAAATCAGAATGAAAGCTCAATAAAGACAGGATACAAGCTCAGCTACACATAAGTGTTGTGCAAACCAGTTAGGAAGGATGCTCAATAAACATGTCTTCTGGAGGAGCCCCCTGCCTTTATCCCATTCCTTCTTTAAAGAGTAGGGGGCAGATGTACCTTTGGTATTCAGCCATTTAAAAATTCTTATAATAAATACTTACCATGTACATTTCAGTGCCACAATGGGTAGAGCAGAGGTTCCTTGCATGAGCCAAGGGAGTGGCTTGATTTTGAGAGCTCTGCATTTCTGCACGTAGGAACGAATTGGCCCTAGACAAAAAGTGCCAGAGAGCTCTTGAAAGCAATTAAGGGTGTGCTAGGCATACTTTGAAAAGATATTTAACAGGCATTCATGCCAAAGACCAGGGCTATTTTTATAGGTAGCAGGCTTTGTTTGTGTGTGTGGTGTTTTTTTTTTACAGGTAACTTTGAAATGAAGGTGTGCCTCAAGTCAA